GTGGTGGTGGTATGGATGAGATGACTCATCTGGTAAAGGTGCTTGCCTCTAACAGCCTGAGTTCAAATCCCGAGCCCACATGTTAGAAGGTGAGAAACAAGTCGTACAAATTGTCCTTGGACCTCTGCTCATATGTACACACACGCATAAATAAATAATTAATAGATTTCTATAGAGAGAAAGGCGTTGGTGTTAGGGTAATCTTTGGGTGGCTGGGAAAGGGAAGAAAACACCACAGAGAAGCCAGGAAGAGCTCACTTTTACCTCTGAATTTTCTGTTACTGTCTTGGTATTTTCTTGGTGTGTGTCTATAATATCGCTGAATCTGTAGAGCAGCTTCTACCTGATTACTAAGGTGATTGCCACAAAGAGCTTTAGTTGTACTCTGCTTTTACCTTAATCCTGTACAGCTCTCCAGGGCAAACTGTACTCAGCTCTGAGCGGTCCTTCCAAGTGGGGCCAAGGAGCCACCCTGAGTCAAAAAAACAGCAATATGTCACCAGAAGCCCAGACCCAGAGAACCAAAGGTATGATTTGATTAACAGTGGCCACAGGCAGGAATTTGCAGAGAATCCTGTGCCTCAGAACTAGAGAACTGGCTGATGGTTTTTCAGGAAAGTGGATTCATGAGTCCTTCCCACTCATGTCCTTGGACTGGTTGACACCCTCCCATCATGGCTACAGCAAGGCCTTTGTGTCGTGTTGGCCTGATATGCTGTCTCAGTAGTGTTCAACAGCCACTTACCTAAGCTTGGCTGAGAGCTGGGAGCATTTGCCAGCTGTGAGTGCATAAAGGGCCCAGCTCCCCAGGCTTGTCCTGTATGCAGATCTTCCTCAGACTTGGAAGTGGGGAGAGGAACTGAAAACTCATTTAACAAACATGGCAAATGCTAGGTGCTAGGAAGTAGAAAATTGTCTTGGAGGGAGAGGGTTGACTTTTGTCTCAGTATCTAGTATAGCTTGGGAGTAGAAACACATTGGAACAAACTGTTGGCCATCTGACAGTAGTAGCTAGCTGGTGTTTTCCTTCCCCACTTTAAAGGTTTTTATTTTTGCGCTGGGGTATGATGGTGCACTGCTGAAATAGCGCTCAGGAGATGGGGAGGACTGCCATGAATTCAAGGCCAACCTGGGTTACATAGGATTGATTACATTGGCTTCATGAAAAGTTTTCATTTTCTGTGATTGAAGACTTAATAGGCCTTAGTTATCCTTTGCTCACCAGGGGTTACGGAGGTTACCAGATCTTAGAGATAGAAGAGGTGGGTTTAGATGCATACTTTCTTTGTGCCAGAGACAAGCCACAAACACAAAGTCAGTATAGGTCCTGGATTTGGAGAGGCCGGGCAGGAATAAGGAGGGGCTTATTTCAAAGTCCAAACTAAAGCTTTTTGAAGAATCCTAGCCAGAGAGATGGCGCAGTGGTTAAGAGTACATACTGCTCTTCCAGAGGACCAGAGTTGGATTCCGAACACCCATGTCTGGTGGCTCATTAAGCACCTGTAATTACAGCTCCAGGGGATTCTACAACTCTGGCTTCTATGGTTACTAGCACTCACATGCACAGACACACATGTATGATAAGTTTTTTGGGTCTTTTTGAGACAGGGTCTCCCTATAAGCCCCAGCTATCCTGGAACTCGCTATGTAGACCAGGTTGGCCTTGAACTCACAGAAATCTGCCTGCCTCTGCCTCTCAACTGCTGGGACTATAGGCGTGCGCCACCAGGTTGGCCTTGAACTCACAGAAATCTGCCTGCCTCTGCCTCTCAACTGCTGGGACTATAGGCGTGCGCCACCATGCCTGGCTGATAATTTTTTTTTAAGTAAACCTTTTAGAAGAGTCCTTTGGTCTGAGAACTTGGATGAGCGTGTTCACATCCTTTGTTCACATCCTTCCCTGGCATTCCCCAAACACAGACCAGAAACTACTCCTGAGGCTCTATCCTCTCAATCAGCTAGCTAACCGGCTCAGTGAATTTAGTTGTAAGGCAGTAATAAAGTTAAAGCAAAGGTCAAGGCAGCTGTTTGGGATTGTGACCTGGGTGGTTAATTGACTGGAACAGAAGCTCCTGCTATGGAAAGGTTCTTGTCAGACTTATGAAAAGAAATCCAGATGGCACATCACAAATTGGTCAGGGAAGCTAGATGATCTCAGCACTTGGAAGGCCGAGGCAGGAACATAGCAAGTTAAAGGTCAACCAAGGCTACATAGTTGAACTTCAGCTGTATAGTGAGATTCTATCTCCAAACTGAAAAAGACCAATTGGGAAAGCAGTTTCCTTGTTATAAATGATTTAGTTGTAATGATTTTGGAGCTATTCCAGTGCCTTTATGTGTCTTAAAGATGTATTTTCATTTTATTGCTATTGTTTTCTGCTAAAGAATCCTGGAAGAGTTTTACCTTCATTTTGATTGGGTTTTGCATACAGTCCAGAGTCTGGCTACTTTTTTGTACCTAATAGATGTTAAAGAATAAGGTAGTGCTTTGAAGTTAGTGAAAACCTAGAGCTCAGGAGCTAAGAAGACTTCTGTGATGTGATTTGTCTTCACCGGGAGATCCTAGCCAGGGAGGCCACACTTGGTTTGGGTGAGCATAGTAAACCGGCAATGTGGGTGCCCTACTTTGAGACACCTTATACTAGATTTCCCAAGGCACTACGCTAAGCATCTGAAAGTTTGGGTACAACTTGTTTCTGTGTGTACTCCTTATTGATTACAACGCACTTTTGCAGAAGCTCCTTCTGTGTATATAAACTGATGTTATTAACAGGGTTGGTGTGAAAGCTGTCCAAGTGGATGGCAGTTGTAAAAGAGGGCCACTTACACAGACTCCCTGAGAGATGTACACCAAGTAGGAAGTTTGCATTTGTTGGTTGAAGTCTTTCCTGTTTGCTCATAATCAAGCCCTTTGCCAGATTTGAGGGGCACCCACATAACCAGCACGTGTCTGGCCTTCTTGTGGCTTGTGCACAAAGCATGCCTATTAGGTTAATGTGTAAGCAGGGGACAACCTCTTGTGCCAAGTGGCTCATTAAGCACTTCTTAATCTGATTGCACTCTCTTTGACTCCCTGGAACCAGGAACTCAGGAGCCATGCCGAAGCCACATAGTGAAGCGGGGACTGCCTTCATTCAGACCCAGCAGCTGCATGCAGCCATGGCTGACACATTCCTGGAGCACATGTGCCGCCTGGACATTGACTCTGCACCTATCACGGCCCGTAACACTGGCATCATCTGTACCATTGGTGAGTGACTGTGGCTCTCTACCAAATGGGGGCTTCCTGTGCCAGCAACAGATTCTCTTCTGAAATTAATAAATACCATAGCTACCCTAGGTTCTAAGCCAAGCTCTGCACAGATTTTTAGGGGAACAGAAGTCATGGGAAACTGCTCTATAGAATTAGTATGCCTTATGGTAAAATTTAGAGGGGGTCTTCCTTGGTGGATCTTTGTCAGAGCATCTTAGAAACCTCAGAAGTGCTTTTTCACATGCTCTGTGTCACCAGATTCCTTAGTTGGGTATCTTGAGGGCAAAGAAAACTGGCCAAGTCTTCCCTCTCTCTGCTTTTCTGAGTAAGTGGGGACCTACAGAATTTGTAAAACATGGACGTGTTCTCCCCTCCCCCAACCCAAACCAAGAAAATAGACTAGCACAGAAGTAGCCTTTTATGTACTTCTAAAAGACTTATGTTATTTTGGGAAGGAAATGTTTAGGGAAAATTAAAGGATGAAGAGTTGCTTTAAAGTAGCAGACTTAACCAGGCTTTCCTACTTGAGTATCATTTTTCTTTTACTTTTTTTTTGGGGGGGGGGTTCTTTTTGATATAGGGTCTCCCTGTATCTCCAGCTGACCTAGAACTCACTATGTAGACCAGACTGGCCTTGAGCTCACAGAGATCCGCTTGCCTCTGCTTCCCAAGTGCTGGGATTGAAGGTACTATGTCTAGCGAATATCATATTTTTCTTGGTGTGTCTCTAAATGTTTCCTGATAGGTCCTGCTTCCCGTTCTGTGGAGATGCTGAAGGAGATGATTAAGTCTGGAATGAATGTGGCTCGTCTGAACTTCTCTCATGGAACTCATGAGGTGAGCCCTAGCTAGACAGCCTGGGCACTGGGAAGGGAAGCTGGAGGGGACATGTTATTCATTAGCTGTGGCAGACTGGGCAAGTTATGAGTCCAGGTTTCTCGGTGAATGGAACATTGTACTAGCCCATCTCTACTCTTCTTCCCTTCTGCCACCTCCATTGGCCAAGACTCCTTGAGTAAACAAGGCTGCTTTGTTAAGGGCCAAGGCTATCCCACATACCTGAGTTACTGTTAACCCTCACAAAAGGTGTGGAAAGTTTTGCTAGATTCCTGTGTGTTTTGGCCACAGGACTTGACACAAACGCGCGCACCCTCCCTCTCTGAGGTTTTCTGCAGTGGTTCTTGTGGGTCCAGTGAATTGAAAGGTTATGCAGAAGATGGCTAGGGCAAGTCCAGGAGAAAAGTTCCCAACTATTGTAGATCAGACTAAATCCAATGAAGTAATCCTGTCTGATGTATTAAAATAATGCATCAGAACTCTTCAGGGTCCTGGTAGGAATATATTTGAGCTAGGACTGTTTATTAGCTGGCTTGGCCCATGGAGAGGTCTGACTGAGGAAGCAGGTGGCAACTGTTAGGGCTCTGTTTCCTACTTTTATTCCTAAGTTCCAAGCAAACTCAAAGCAGGTGGGTAGAGGCTCCCTAAACTCTGCCTTTGAAAAAACCTTCAAGCTAGAGCATGGATTTCCTCCTGGCATTGATGGAGAAGGGAGACATCCCTCTTGGCTTCTGTGTGTCTTGTTCAGAATAAAGAATTAGCCTTTGCTACTCTGCCCTCTGGCCTTTGAAAGTTAAGTTTGGACTAAAAATAAACCATCAGGAACAGCAGTCCAATAAATAAATCCCTTCTTTCTGGAAACATGAGACACATCATCATAAATTCCCTAACCCATGTTCCATAAACAGCCTATGGGCTGGAAAAGACTGGTCCCTAAATGTCATAGGCTTGAGCTGGTTTAGCAGGTGCTTAGGGCAGTATTTGACAAATCCTTGAGGTAAAGAGTCTGAGACAAGAGTATCATGAGTTCAAGGCCAGCTTAGGGTACATAGGGAGTTGGAGACTAGTCTCAGCTATATAACAAGGCAAAACAAGTTGGGGTTTTTTGTTGTTGTTGTTTGGTTTTTTTTTGGTCTTTTTGAGACAGGGTCTTCCTGCAGCCCCAGCTGGCCTAGAACTTACTATGTAGACCAGGCAGGCCTTGAACTCACAGAGATCTGCCTGCCTCTGCCTCCCAAGTGCTAGAACTATAGGCATGCATCACCACACCCAGGTTTTTTTTGCGGGGCAGGGGGGGGTGTCTTTTTTGGGCAAAACAAATTTTTAAAAAGAACAATTGACAGTTTTCCAGATGCTGTGCTTTTGGCAGGAAGCATGAGCCTAGTTCAAGGACAGCATTGCAGATATGACAGAAGGTCCACTAGCTAGGGTCCTTTGCCACTAGAGGCTGCATGGGAAGGAACAAAAATAGATTTGGAGAAGCTGACCTTTAAATAGGCTTTATGGCTTCTTACATCCAGGAAAATAACACCATGAAACTCTAAGATGGCAGGGGCTAGGGAGATTGGTCATACCTGCTGGGGCAGGGGCTGGCTCAAGCTTATTTTCTTTTTTTCTTTTAAAACTATAGGAAGCATTTACACATTATCTGTACTTTAAATCTTATTCCTAGATTAGACTTGGGTTTTTAAAAATATTTTATTATTTTTTTTATGTGTATGAGTGTATTGCCTGCATGTATGTGAGTGCACCTGTGTCGTGCAATGCTGTGGAGGTCAGAAGAGGGTGTCAGATTCCCCTGGAACTGGGGTTAAGGATGGTTCGTAGCTGCCATGCGGGTGCTGGGAATCGAAATTGGATCCTCTGCAAGAGCAGTCAGTGCTGTTAACTGCTAAGCCATCTCTCCAGCCTGACTGGGGATTTTTTTAAAGTGCTTGTGAGTTTGTTTTTGGATTTAGATAGCTGAGGCGAAGTTATCCCCCATAGGCTTTTTGGGAACTGATCTGAAGTTATTCTGTCATGTCATGTTACATAAACTTTTAGTTTGACCACGTCAGGGTTCCTATTTCTTACACACCTTCAGTTAGGAGCTGGGGCATAATTTTTGAGATCTTGACAGATCTAAGTACTCCTAGAGCATTGGAATTGCTTTCTCCCCATCTGACAGGGATGCTTACTGACTGCATCTACTTGTTCAGCAGCTCTGGCACACCTCTGGCTGTTCATGTGGGCAAGATGTATTGTTGCTGAACAGGCATTGCTGTAACACCACGTTGGCCAGAAAAGAATACTGACTGCAACCTAAATTTAGAACTACAAGGATGGTACTGATAGGTGCCAACCTTTATCATTTGGTCATATGCCAGCAAAACCACAACTGTCAAAATGGAAGACCCAGTGCACCTTTTAGAAATGTACCAAAAGCTAACCATACAAATGATTTGAATGAAAGAATATTTGATACCCCAATTGTGGTAATTGCACTGTTTTATATCCCTAAAGTCAAGACTGTGTATTTAAAACACTCACGGGTGGGGGGACTGGAGAGATGGCTCAGCAGTTAAGAGCATTGGCTGTTCTTCCCAGTGCGTCTGGGTTTTGTTCCCAACACCGTATGACAGCTAACAGCCCACCTATAACTCTACTTCAGATCTGACCTTTTCTCCCTCCACACAGGCATTGCATACATGTAGTACACTTACATGTGCGCATACAAAAACACATATAAACTAAAAATGGTTAATTATTTATTTATTTATGTCTTTTTTTGAGACAGCGTCTCCCTGTAGCCCCAGCTGTCCTGGAACTCACTATGTAGACCAGGCCGGCCTTGAACTCAGAGAGATCCGCCTGCCTCTGCCTCCTGAGTGCTGGGATTAAAGGCGTGCGCCACCACGCTTGGCTATTTATTATATTATGTGTATGAGTGTATTGCCTGCATGTATGTGAGTGTACCCATGTCATGCAGTGCCGTGGAGGTCAGAAGAGGGCTTCAGATTCCCCTGGTTTGTAGCCACCATGTGGGTGCTGGGAATCGAACCCGGGTTCCCTGCAAGAGCAGTCAATGCTCTTAACTGCTGAGCCATCTCTCCAGCCCCATGATTAAAACTTTTTAAAAACACTCGCGGATTGGCTGAGATGTAGCTCAGTGGTAGAATACTTGCCTAGCAGGAGCAAGCAAGGCCTTGGGTTCATTCCCTAGCAATAAAAGGCAAATTGAAACAAAACAACCCCACTTACATGAAAATGTTAGGTCAGAATTGAAAACATAAAGTCCTGTAAAGTAGAAATGACACAGATAGACCTTCTGGGTCTTTCTGGTTTTTGTTTTGTTGAGGCAGGGTCTCACCATGAAGCACTGGCTGACTGGCTGACTTGGAATTCACTGTCTAGACCAGGATGGCCTCGAACTCAGAGACCTGCCTGTGTACTGAGTTGAGTGCTGGGATTAAAGATATGTGCCACCGCACCTGGCTCTGAAATAGTTCTTGAATGAAAATTAAGAGCAAAATCTAAAGTAAATTAAGAAAATGTAGAAGCTTATTTTCAAAGTAAATGAATAAAATATTTATTTCAAAGCACCAGAAACATCTCCAGGTGCGGTCACTTATTCCTGTATAGAGGCAAAAGGATCTGGAGTGTAGGGTCATATTTGGCTATGTAGCAGGTTGGAGACCAGCTTGGGCTACATGAGACCCTAAGAAAAAGTAACCTAAAGAGGGTGATAAAAAGGAATTAATCTTACAAAGTTATAGCTTAGTAAAATAATAAATATGACATTAGGCTAAGAATTGGTTTCTTTGTAGGGAAGAGTTAAACAGAAAACTAGAAAGCCTGGTCCCCAGGGTATTGCTCAGTAGAGCACTTAACCTAACATATACAAGGTCCTGGTTTCTATTCCCAGTATTGTTTTCAAAGGAGAGATGCTATACAAATGAGTATATAGAAAAGGCAGTAGTTTATACTAGAAAAATATTTTCTAAAGTCAAAAAAGATTCGTAACATAATTCCTTTAAGTAGAAATGAAATCGCAAATTTTCCAAGAAGAAATAAGTATGCAGTAGCTAGAAATAATTTCTAAGTAGTCCACTAGAAGTTGAAAAAGGCACTGAGCTGAAGCTCCCATTTGAAAGCACAGGGCACATGAATTGTATATGTGGTTTGGAGATTGAACGCAGAGCTTTGTACCATGTGCGCATAAAGTGCACTACCATTGAGCTATTCCACCAGCCCAAGACCAAGTGATTTCATGGCTGAATCCAGTCTCCTTTAATGAACAGTTAGTCTTTTGTACACTATTCTAGAGTCTGGAAAAGTATAGAAGTCTGCTTACTATGTTTTTTGAAATTGGTGTACTATATTACTAAGATTAGACATGAGACAGTACCCAAACCACACTAACCAGGTTGGTCATGGAGGTTTGTACACAAGAACAAATATACACAAAAGAACAGGTATACACAAAGCATAGGTGAGTTCAGTTGAGAGAGTGCTTGCCTAGCATGCATGAAGTTCTGGGTTCAGTTCCCCAGTACAACATGAAACTGGACGTGATGGTGCACACCTATAATCCCAGCGTGAAAGTGGAGGCAGCAGGATCAGGATTTAAAGGACAGCCTGGCTACATGAGACCCTGTCTCATAAACTGAAAAGCAAAACGGAAAACCCTAAACAACTATTAGCCAAGTATGGTGGTCTACAACTCTAATCCTACCACTCAGGAGACAAAGGCAGGGAGATCATGGGTTCCAGGCTAGCCTGGGCTATATAACAGGATCTTTTTCTCAATGAAAAAATAAAAGACACAATCCAAATGATTTCAACTTCTGTTAGTACTCTGTTTTGTATTATTTGGAATAGAAATTGTTTATAACTTAAAATAAGGACCTCTGAAACAAACCAAGGCACTGAGTAGTCCCTCACTGAACCTGAGACTGAGTTATTTAAGACATGCCCTTCAGGCAGCATTTGCCCTTAGATGTTTCCAGCCTCCTATAGATAACAAGCAGCCTGCTTGCAGGTGCAGCTCTCCTGGGCACCTGTGATTAAAAGGACCAGACAGGCCCATAAAGTGCTGAATTAAGTGACCCATTATCAGAAATGTCACATGGATTATATTCTCCAGGAATTCTTTTGATACCTATCTTGGATTGAGTCCCTTAATAATCAAACAGTAGTGACAGATAGGAAGAGAGAAAGGACTGAGGGAAGTCTAGAACCCTGATTTGCTGCAAGAGTAGCAAAGGGCAGTTCCATGGGAGACAGGCTCCTGACACCTCCCTGTCTCTACTTCCCTTACTAATCAGACTCCTTGGGAAAACAATTGTGAAAGCAGGTGTGTGCATGACCCAAGCAATGAGCCCTTTAGCACGGGCCACTGTTAGCTTAAGTCAAACTTGGAGTTTGAATTGTAGTTGATCAATAGAACAAACACAATCTGAGACTGATTGCCAGGGCAGACTTTTCATATATAAATCCTGGGTCCTTTGCCCCAGTCATTAGCCTTATTTGCTGAATCCTAGGGACAATAAAATGGCTGCTTTAATGGTGAGACAAGTTCACATCCAGGCCTTACAATGGGTCTTGGTGACAGTAATCTGCAGAGTTCCTAAGATTTGCTCTGAGAGCCAGCAGGTGCTGTGATAGAAGTATTTAAAGCTGATGGGTTTGAAGCACTCAGAGGGATAATGGGTAGTAGAGAGGTTAGACAGTGGGTGTTGAGGTCTAGAACTGAGATAGCCAAAGGCCAGCTTTGATTCCGAGGCAGGGGTTGGAAATTGTAGTCAAGTATGGAGGACATTGTCATCTCCCTTCCTTTACCCCAGTACCATGCGGAGACCATCAAGAATGTGCGCACAGCCACAGAAAGCTTCTCATCTGACCCCATTCTCTACCGGCCAGTTGCTGTGGCTCTGGACACTAAGGGACCTGAGATCCGGACTGGGCTTATCAAGGGCGTGAGTATCCTGGGAAAGAGCAAATGTTTTCATCTATCCTTGCTAGGAAATGTTACTATGGGGTAGGAGAGAAAGGTGATTAACTTCCTTGTGTCTTTTCCCTCCATCCTGTCCATTCTCTCCCCATTTCCTGAAACATACCAAGTTAGAGTGAGACTTTATTCACAAAGGAAACAGATTTCTTAGTGCTTTCAGTTGAGGTTTGCGCCTTGTTCTTGGGGAAGAGCTTTTCCAGTCCTACCAGGGGCACTGGCTTCTGCAGTCTGCACTCTAAGGTGTGTTTCCTTACCCACAGAGCGGCACCGCCGAGGTGGAGCTGAAGAAGGGAGCCACTCTGAAGATCACATTGGATAACGCCTATATGGAAAAGTGTGACGAGAACACCCTGTGGCTAGACTATAAGAACATTTGTAAGGTGGTGGAAGTGGGCAGCAAGATCTACGTGGATGACGGGCTGATTTCGCTGCAGGTGAAGGAGAAAGGTATGTCCAGGGTCAGGGTTGATGGCGTAAAACCACCTCGCATCTCCACAGTCCTGGTGCGAAGAAGCTTGATGGCTGGCAACAAAGTTCAAGCTATCCGTTCTCAGGAAATCCATCTACAACTCATATCCTCAAACCCACCAGCCCAGAGGTAGGAACGTAGCCCATTGGGTAGAGTGCTGGCTGAGCATACAAGAGGCTCTGGTGGGTTCAATCCCCGACATAGCACCAAACTGGATGTGGTGGTACACACCTGCAATCCCAACATTCCAGAGGTGGAGACGGGAGAATTAGAAGTTTAAGGTAATTCTTGGCCACATATCAAATTTTGCATCCATGAAAACCAGTCTTATTTAAATTGTTCACTTTTTTTTTAAGTTTTTATTTTTTTTATTTTATGTGTATGTGTGTATTGCCTCCATGGGTAAGTGCACCAGTGTCGTGTCCAGCAATTCCCGCAGAGGTCAGAAGAGGCTGTCGGATCCCCTGGGACTGGGGTTACAGATAGTTAGCTGCCATGTGGATGCTGGGATTCAAACCCGGGTCTTCTGCAAGAACAGCCAGTGTTCTTAACTGCTGAGCCATCTCTTCAGCCCCTCACTTTTGGTTTTATTTATATTTTGATACAGGCTGGCCTTGAATGCCTCATCCTCCTGTCTCCACTTCCCAGTTGTTGGGATTACAGTATTACAGTGGTGATCACCACTACACCTGGCCCTGTATTGTACTTAAATGTTTTTAAACAACATATGAATAAACATTATTATTAGAGGTACGGAAACTGGGGTACAAAGAAAAGAAGTGAATTGGCTAGCCTGAGGTTGTAAGTTAGTGGTGTGAGATTGAAGTCTGGCTTCCCTGGCTCTAGTACCCACTGTGCTGCTTACCAGTTCCCTGAACTGGAGGACAGAGATGAAGGCCCCTGCTGCTGGCCTCTTACCAGTCGAGATGTGCCTTCATCACTCTGCCTCCCACCTTGATTTTACACAGGTGCTGACTTCCTGGTGACTGAGGTGGAAAATGGTGGCTCCTTGGGCAGCAAGAAGGGAGTGAACCTTCCAGGAGCTGCTGTGGACCTCCCTGCTGTATCAGAAAAGGACATCCAGGACCTGAAGTTTGGAGTGGAGCAAGATGTAGACATGGTATTTGCATCTTTTATCCGCAAGGCGGCTGATGTACATGAAGTTAGGAAGATCCTGGGAGAGAAAGGGAAGAACATCAAGATTATCAGCAAAATCGAGAATCATGAAGGAGTTCGCAGGTGAGTCCTGTTGTCCCCTCTTCAGTTCCCAGGCCTCTGAGGACAAGATAATGTCCTGAGAACACCTGAGTCTCAGACCTACCCAGTGGAATGCAGCCTGCTAGGCCTGGTTTCACTGAATCTGGACATCTTAGGGTTCGGGAAGGCACTTATGTTTAAAAAGTGAGCCAAAAGGAAGCTACCCAGGTGATAGAAGTGCTGGAGTCGTGACTGGGTACCTCAATGGAACAGCCCTAGCTGGGGAGAGAAACAGGAAGGTTAGCAGCACACCCTTCAGAAAGGGCTGTTTTGGGCCCTCACTTGGGACCCATGTGGAAACTTGATGTGAGGTCTATGCTGAGGCTTCTGGCCTCCTGATCTTCACTCAAGGAGTAGCTATCCTGATGCTGCTGCTGCACAGTGGTCCATTCAGCTTCCCATGTGATGCTTCAGACTTAACCACCTTTCTAGTGCTCACAAGGAAGAATGAAAACAGGGTGGCCAGCTTGGTGACATCTGTTGTTCCTTGGCTTCCTACTGCTAAAACCCCAGACCTACTCCTGGGGATTAGGAGTATGCTTGGTAGAGTGGAAGGAGCAATTGTTATGTCCACTGTGTAGCTTTATATTGGAGTCTCCTCCTTTTCCAGCTTGGTGAGCCATGGGTGCTGATTGAGCTTGGCATTTCCTTTTGCTTTCAGTAAGTTGGAGGAAAGAGACCACTCTATGTGTACTGTGATAGAAACACTGTGACCCAAGCAATTTATAGAAAGAAGAGTTTATATGAGCCTACAGTTCCAGGGGAATTACAGTCTGTCGTGGCAGGGAGGCATTGGTGGCTGGAGGTGGCTGGAGCAGGAGCAGCAGAAGCTAAGCTCTCACATCATCATGCAGGCACAGGAAGCAAGAGAGCAACTAGAGATCTGGCAAGGCTTAAGAACTCTCTAAGCCACCCCCAGTGATGTGCGTCCTCCAGGATAGCCACACCTTCTAAAACCTCCCAAAACAGCGCCATCATCTGGGGCCAAAATGTCCAAAATACTTAGAGCCTGTGGGGGACATTTTCATTCAAACCATCACATTCCACAATTTCTGTCCTATTTTGTTTCTTAATTGCTGTGACAAAATACTCTGACCAATACCAACTTGGGGAGGAAAGGGTTTATTTAGCTTACATCTCCTGGGTCACAGTTCATCAGGGAGCCCAAGGTAGGAACTCAGGGCAAGAACATGGAGGCAGGGGCTGGAGCACAGGCCATGGAGGAATGCTGCTTACTGGCTTGCTCCCCTGGCTCCTACTCAGCCTGCTTTCTTATGCAACACAGGCCCACCTGCCCAGGGGTGGTACCACCCACAGTGGGCTGGGTCCTCCCACATCACTCAAGAAGGTGCCCCATGGACATGGCCACAGGCCAGTCCAGTGAAGACAGTTCCCAATTGAGGCTCCCTCAACACTAGGTGTGTCAAGTTGACACTAAAGCTATCCAGCACAATGTGGCAGCCCTCAAATGTCTTTGGCTAAATGAAGCAATCAATGGTCCTTAGTGAGAGAAGCATCAGCTGGCCTTGTATCCTCTTTCTGACATGAAAGTGCTGATTGGAGAGTACAGCTTGTGGCAAGACACCACAGCAAGGCCTTGGAAGATGAAGGTGGAGGGGAAATGAGCCCATGGGACTTTGGAGTAGATCTCGTCCCCTCTCCTTTCTGCTCACAGTGAGGTATCCATAGTGGTGTTATAAAAGCCCAACAAGCAAGATTGTTAGCCCACTCTGGGTACAAGGTTGATGAGTGCCCCATCACCTCTGCGTCTACGAAATGTGCCCTACAAGGTCTTCCAAATCAGGGAAAGCCTCCTGGGGAAAGCCGCTGTTTTTGTGGTTCCTGTTTCATGTTACCTCTTTCTATATTAGGTTTGACGAGATCTTGGAGGCCAGTGATGGGATCATGGTGGCCCGCGGTGATTTAGGCATTGAGATTCCTGCAGAAAAGGTCTTCCTTGCTCAGAAGATGATGATTGGGCGATGCAACCGAGCTGGGAAGCCTGTCATTTGTGCCACACAGGTATGTGCCCTTTCCCTTGTTCTGTGTACACTGTTTGGGAGAACTCTGGAGCTACCTGGCCTCTTCCTCTGGCCGCATACACGCACACCCCATGCGTCTGTACACAGCCATACTCCGTGTGCCTACACACTATCCAGGGTGTCATCTCCCAATTATTTGTCAAGATGGCCCAGGCCATGTCTCACTAGTGCTCTGTCCCCTCCTAGATGCTGGAGAGCATGATCAAGAAGCCCCGCCCCACCCGGGCTGAGGGCAGTGATGTGGCCAATGCAGTCCTGGATGGAGCTGACTGCATCATGCTGTCCGGCGAAACAGCCAAAGGGGACTATCCTTTGGAGGCTGTTCGCATGCAGCACCTGGTAAGTCTTTAGGGCCTGTCTTGTGCCCTGGGCTTCAGACTACATTTGAGGCAAGTTCTGCCATAGAGGTTTTTTTAAGACTTCTTTATCCTTTTACCCACAGTCTCTCATCTTCCTCTTAAGTCATAGCAACAACAATTAGGTGGGGGTGGGGAGTGGTATCTTGATTTTTCTGTTTTGCTTTCACTGTATACACCTGCCCCTTTTTCCTCCTGCTCAGGAGGATACCCCGTTCTTAGAAGATGCCATCTGGCTCAGGACTTAGGTCCTGGGATATAGCCAAAGGATGCCTTGGACCTCTTTCTGTGAATAGTCCAGAGGGCCTGGGCACCTCTGTCGTAGTCTAAAGGAGCCAAGGGCTTGTACTCCCAGCTATCCTCTCAATTTGGCTTCCAGATTGACACTATTGGTCCCATGGATGGATGCTTTGCTCAAGGCTGTTGCCACGCTGAACTGGCCATGCATAGTGCCTGTGATGACTGACAGCAGGGCCACAAATAGAGCTGAGTAGAAGGACTCTTGAGTTCTGGACTAGGAATATGATGGAGTTGTGAAGACTCTGGGAATGAGTTCTTTAAGACCTTCACTTGGGTCAGATGTGGTAGTGAATTATCTAAGTCCAGTACTATGGGTTCAGGCAGGAGGATTGCCAAGAGTTTGAGACCAGCCTAGACGAAAGTGAGACCCTCATTCAAGAGCAACAATAAAAAGACTCATGACCTCCAACTGGGCCATGTACTGCTCAGGGTGCAGACACAGGTCCTCAGCCCTGTATTTCTGCCATGGAGCTTCTGGACTTAACTAGGGATCGGATCTCAGGGCTGTTTAGGTTTGGCAAAATGAGTGCTATGAATGAACTTTCTCAGGATGTTCTAGATCAGTTTTTGTTCCCTTTGGGTGACTCTTAAGTTTCCACAAGTACCTAAATTTAAACAATTGGAAAAGGAAGAGCCCACTCTGGATTAGGCATCTTGCCTTTCTTCTGCCTCTGTGTCCTTATATTGAGCTTAAGCTGTTTTCAGGGTGAAGTCAGTTCTCGATTGTGTGACCTTATCCTTGGGCTATCAGGGTGAAGTCAGTTCTCGATTGTGTGACCTTATCCTTGGGCTACGGTCAGTATCCCTCGTAGCTTTCCTTCCCCATTTTGAAATAAGTGTTAGAGACCACCCCTATCCCAGGGACATTGTATAGCTTGGCCTGGGCTGGCTCATCACCTGCTTGTGCGATACTGATACTGTTGCTGTTCTTAAGGGCTCATTTCCATAGCCCATGGCAGGAAGGTCCTTTCTCTTGCCCAGGAAACCATGTGCCTTCACCCAGTCACTTCCCTAGCAGCTGCCTTCCTGGGTATCATCAGTTACTCCCTTTCCTATTTACCCTGCTTAGTTGTGTGAACTGGCCTCGGAAGTGGGAGGGTAACTGAAGCATAGGCTATTTTTCTTAATAGCTTTGAGCAAATTATTTGACCTTCTAAGACCTTGTCTTAAGATGGGTTTGATGAGACTTAATTATAGCCTTTGAATTAAACATTTACTGCTGTAGTTAAGTGTTAGATAAGCTCCTGTGCCCATTGATATAATCTTCATGACTTCTATTGCCTCAGTTTGTAGATGAGGGTCACATGATGATAGGATAAATGTAGGTTTGAGTCAGGTTTGCTGACTCCAGTGCCAGCCAGTTCTTCTCAGGTCTTCACCAGGGTCAGGTTTGGTTCTGACTTCCATGTCCTTTTCTTCCATGCCCTGGTCTTTCCTATGAACAGATACCTTTGAACTGCAATGCTGGGATTGCATGGCACTGCTCAGAAGATAAGTTATGGGAGCTTGGTCAGGCAGTGGCTGCCCCTTCAGAGGGTGCAGGCCTCTTCCCTGTCATCAGTTAACACTGCCCACAGCTTCTCCCTTTACCTGTTCGTTGCTTCCTCTACTGTCTAACTGATGCAGTTCATGACCTGTAACTTAAGTAAGCTAGGCAGTTCTAGCTTCAGTTCTGCTTCCTGTCCTGTCCCCTGTCTTTTGGGCTGCATGCATTCCATTCTTAACCAAAACAATACTTTTAACCTAGGAAAGTCCTGCCACATGTCTGCTTAGACTATCAAATTAATGAGATGGTACTACTGATTTCTCCCTTATCTATAACTTACTAAGATGCTGGTGATTGAATTATAATCCTCTAAAACTTAAGTTTTCTTTATAATACCTGGTCTTACCTGAGCAGGTGGTCTCTGTTTATAACTTAGTGGCTCCTTCTTATGACTATTAATAATTACTGAGTTTTTATTGATATCTTGTTAAGTATACCTGCGTGCTTCCATGGGCATCTGTCTCTTCACATGGCTGCTCAACATGTTGCTCTCATGAGCCAGAGTTCTAACTCATCCTGTTAGAACTCAGTCACACTGTGCCTTTGGCTTCTCTGACCCGACCCCAGCTTCCAGAGCTGCTCCACTGTACCACTGTAAAGACTTCTGGCTGAGGAGATGTACTCCCTCTATGTGTGCAGGCCACACCGGAAGCTTTGTTGTAGCCAGACAGCCACGTGAGGAGTGGAGGGCCTATCCTTCCTGTAAGCTGTGATGAGGCAGCGTGGTCGAGTGGAAGTGGTGTGGGCTCCACCTGAGCGTTTTTCCATGCCACGATCCTGGAGCCTACCACCCTTGTCCCTCAGCTTCAATGAAAGAATTCTTTCCAGCCAGGCATGGTGATACATGCCTCTAATCCCAGCATTCAGGAGGCTGAGGTAAAAAGAATCACAAATTCGTACGGCCTTGGCTACATAGTGAGAGTGTATCTCACAAACCAAGGTGGGGGATGTTAAATCCTTCCAATGTGGAATAATTTTCCCTACAGAGCAGTTAAAACACAAGTACACACACACCACCCCCAGGAGCATGTGGACTTTAACCACCCTGCCTCAAGGACAGATATAACCTACAGATACCTTCCTCTCTGATTAATTTCCCTCTGTCTTTCCATGTGTTGTCTCTCCTGTTTTTTCGTTCTTCTTCCCTCTTCCTCTCCCCACCCCCTTCCCCTAAACCATACAGATAGCTCGGGAGGCTGAGGCAGCCATGTTCCACCGCCTGCTGTTTGAAGAACTCGTGCGAGCCTCCAGTCACTCCACAGACCTCATGGAGGCCATGGCCATGGGCAGCGTGGAGGCTTCTTATAAGTGTTTAGCGGCAGCTTTGATAGTTCTCACGGAGTCTGGCAGGTAGGGCCCTAAGGGCAGGTATCATTCTAGGATAACCAGCTTCTTGCTCCAGCCGCTTCGCAAAAGGCAGCTAGGCCAGCCATGTACTTGAGCCTGGGCACATTCAGCCTCTCTCTGTAGGAAGGCAGCCAAGGAAGTCATATGATAAGGCAGGACCAAAGGGTCCTTTGCTCCATGGGCACAGTGGACGTCACAGGCACCGGGTACAGGATGGTTCCTGTGGAGCTTTGATTTTGTTTGGTTCTGAACTTCTAGAGACTGGGCTCCTCCTGGCCTTTGTGCCCCAGGGACATGTTCCTTTCCAGCTGTCTGTGACTCCTCCCCTCCCTTTCCGTTTGTGGCAAAGCTCTGACAAAGCCCTGTCCCCCCTCCCCTCGTCCCTTTGGACGGATGTTGTCCCCTAGATTGCCCGTGAGGCAGAGGCTGCCATCTACCACTTGCAATTATTTGAAGAACTCCGCCGCCTGGCGCCCATTACCAGCGACCCCACAGAAGCTGCCGCCGTGGGTGCTGTGGAGGCCTCCTTCAAGTGCTGCAGTGGGGCCATTATCGTGCTCACCAAGTCTGGCAGGTAGGAGGCGGCAGCAGCTCCCTGGAGATGCCTTGCTCTGTTGGCACCTCTCCTTGGTTCCCAAGAGTGGCATTGGGCCAAGGTAAGACCCCCCTGGCTGCCACCTGGACCCAGAGGACTCCAGGCAGCACTCACAGGTATATCAGACCATTTAAAAGTCCAGTTTGGAGGGCCAGCAAGATGGCTTAGCAGGTAAAATACTTTCTACTTGACTACCTAAATTTAGTCTAAGGAAGAAAACAGATTCCTGAAAGTTATCCTCTGGCCTCTACATTCATGCTCAAACAAAAACATAATAATATCAAAATTTTAAAATCCCATTTGGAGCCAGGTGTGATAGCATACACCTTTAATCCCAGCTCTTGGGAGGCAGAGGCAGGCAGATCTCTGTGAGTTCAAGGCCAGCCTGGTCTACATAGTGAATTCCAGGACAGCTGGGGCTACAGGGAAACCCTGTCTCAAAAAGACCAAAAAAAATCCCATTTGGAGTGGTGATGACTTAATGGGCATCATGTTTGCAGTACAAACATGAGGACCTAAATTTGGATTCTAATACCCAAGTTAAAAAAGCTGGGCACAATCAGATGCGATGGTTCCGGCCTTTAATCCCAGAACCCTGAGGCAGAAGCAGGCGGATCTCTTGAGTGCCAGACTGGCTACGGCTACATAGTGAGACCCTGCCTTAAAGAAAAACAGAAGGGGAAGCTGGAGAGCTGGCTCAGTGGTTAAGAACACTATCTGTTCTTGGAGAAGACCCAGGTTCAAATCCCAGCACTCACATGGCAGCTAACAACTGTCCCTAACTCCAGTTCCAGGGAATCCGACAGTCTTTTCTGTCTTCTGCAGACATTGCATGACACGGGTGCACTTACCTACATGCAGACAATACATGCATACACATAAAAATAATAAAATATTGAAAAAAGAGAAAAGCCCAGAATACAGAACATGAGCCTATAATTATATTTCTGGGAGACACAGACAGGAGGAGCCTAGAGGCTTGCTTGGCCAGCCAATCAGTGTACTCTTAAGTTCAGTAACTGATCCTGTCTCAAATAAGTGAGTGGAAGATACCCAGCATTGGCCTCTGGCCTCTGTACACATACATACACACAAAAAAATAGTGGGAGCTGGAGAGATAACACTTAAAGAACTATGGCTGCTCTTCCAAAGGACCCAGGATTTGATTCCCAGCACTCATATAATGGCTAACAAACATCTGAACTCCATTCTAGGGGATCCAACACAATCCTGGCTGTACATAACTTGGGTGCATTACATGCATGAAGGCAAAACCTCATACACATAAAAATCTTTAAGGAGCTGGAGAGATGGCTCAGCGCTTAAGAGGACTGACTGCTCTTGCAGAGGACCCGGGTTTGATTTCTCAGCACTGACGTGGTGGCTATGAACCATCCTTAACTCCAGTTCCAGGGGAATCCAAAGTCCTCTTCTGACCTGTGGCATTGTACGACACAGGTGCACTCACATACATACATGTAGACAATACACCCGTACATAAGATGAAAATAATAAAATTTTTTTTTAAATCTTTAAGTTACAAAATTAATAAGTAATGTACAGGTATAGTAACCCACACCTATAATCCCATCACTCAAAATGCCAAGGAGGAAGCTTATCAAAAGTTTCTGGCCAACCTGGGCCACATGAATTCTAGGACACCCTAGACTACAGTGTGAGACCCTGTCTCAAAAAGTCACAAACACACACCAAAAACAAACTTAAAAAAACCGTACAAAAACAGTCTGGAAAACTGTTCCTGACCTCCATCTGAGTCTGGCCCAGAAAAGGGTGCTGTGCTGTCTTGCTGTCCTCCTTGGAGGCCATCCATGCAGCCTCTGGACTTGAAATCTCTTCCTAACCTGGGACATTGGCTTATCTCTTAGTCTGCTAGTCTTGCCCACAGGGCAGTAAGGGCTTCCTAATGGGCAGGGTAGTTCCTAGACACTGAGCAGCAGCAGATGGGCTCCCCTGGAGCACTAAGATGAAAGGTCTGTGCTAATTCTGTGCTCCAGCCATTAGGGTTGACCTTTGTGAAAAGGCCTAGCCCCTCCTGTTTGGTTATTCTTAGCTCTAGTCTCCTGGAATTTCACCAGGCAAGTCCTAACTTCAGCAACTGCTCTGCCCCCCTGCCCTACCCCCATAGCCTGTGTATGGAGGTCAACCCCAAAGCAGGGTAATTCTTTGCTGAGGCCTGTCTAGTTTCCTTGATACCTGTTGAATGCCCTAAGAGCTTGCCTTCTGGGACTGAGTTAATTCCTTAAGCTAGTCTGACGCCTGAAATACATCTGTAGTGTTTAAGGGAACACTTTGCACAGGGACTTCAGAGGGGTCGTCTACCTTCCTGGAGGAGCCCAGGTGGGCAAAGTCTTCCCATACCTTCCCTGTTATGGGACTCTAGAGCTCAGCTCTTGGGACTTTCTGGGAGCCATGTGGAGTGGGGAGGACACAGCAAGTTAACATTGTGGGCTTCCAGGGGCTGGTCACTGGTGCTGTTCTTTGCAGATACAAGTCAGGAACTAGTCATGTGCTTCTTGGCTTACAGGTGTTGCTTGCAGCTACAGGAATAGGTGCTGGTGAGGCTAGGGCAAAGTTGTCTCTGTGCCAGATGAAAGAATTCAGGGTGTGGGAGGGGTTCTACCAACTATGGCCATGTAGGGTAAGTGGGTGCTAGATCTAGACAGAGGGCAAATGGGAGCTGAGGACACTAAGGGTAGAATGGGCTGGCAAGGCCTTGGGAGGCAATTCTCTGCTTTCAGAGAGGGCTCAGAGCAGCCATTGTCAGCGTGCATAGTATGTTGCATTAGAAGGTAGGCTATTGCTGAAGGCCTTGTATGTTTCCTGGAAGGCACCCAAGACACTGTTTAATGATCTGTCCTACCTCTTCCCATCAGGAGTGCTCACCAGGTGGCTAGATACCGCCCACGTGCTCCCATCATTGCTGTGACACGTAATCCCCAGACAGCTCGCCAGGCCCATCTGTACCGTGGCATCTTCCCTGTGCTGTGTAAGGATGCAGTCCAGGAGGCCTGGGCTGAGGATGTAGACCTGCGGGTGAACTTGGCCATGAATGTTGGTATGTAACTGGAAGGGTTGGGGGTGCCTGAACAATGGCTTTCCTGAAACCCTGAAAGTCTGGGGAATACAAAAGGGGGGGACATGCAGGCTTAGCTCCTGTGCTGCAAAAGGCCCTGCTTGTCTACTCCTCATCTTCACAGGGGATGTTCTGTCTGAATCTTCATTTGAAGTGCCCCCTCTGCCTCTTCACCATCCCATTGTGGGGCCCAATGCAAAATTTATTGTCCATTGTTTGGCCTCTGCCCATTACTAAGGTTAAAATTGGGTCGAGCTACTATACTATGGCGTGGTATATGCCAGTTATGCATTGCTGTAGCCTTCTGTGGCCTTTGTTCTTATATAAGGTATGATACCAGAGGATGAGAGGAAGCAGTTGACTCTGACCTTGGGCATAGCTTTCTACCCTCTAGTATAAACTGAATGGTGTCCAAAGGTCCCTACTACTAACTGTAGGAGAGCTCAACCAGCTTTTGTCTGAGCTAGAAGGCTAGCACCACCTTGTGGTAGGAGAAAGTAATGGTGAGTCTCTGGGGCATTTACCCAGGTGTGCACCTACCTGGCTTGGCTTGTACTCACCAATCTCTTTTCTTCTAGGCAAGGCCCGAGGCTTTTTCAAGAAGGGAGATGTTGTCATTGTGCTGACTGGGTGGCGCCCTGGCTCTGGCTTCACCAACACCATGCGTGTAGTGCCTGTGCCGTGATGGTCCACTGGAGCCCCTTTTCCAGCCCCTGTCCTATCCCCATCCCCCAACCCATCCATTAGGCCAGCATTGCTTGTAGTGCTCACTCTGGGCTGTAGTGTGGCACTGGTGGGCTGGGACACCAAGGAAAGTTAATGCCTCTGTGAAACATGACACAGAGTCCAGCTGACCATTGTGTGGCCCTGTCCAAGTCAGGGATGAGGAGGAATGCAGAATTGGAGGCCCTCTGAGGTTATCACAAGAGGGCAGCAAAGTCTCTGTGTACTTTGTTCCTGTATAAAGTGTTGTCCAGAAGACTCCCAGCCGTGGCCTAGCCAGCCGTGGCCTAGAGTCAGGAGACAGCAGCCAGCAAGGGTAAGGGGCCTAAGGCACAGGGCCAAGGTTCCAGTGTAGATTGCCTTTGGCCCTGGTCCATACCTGCTTCTCCAACAGCCTCAGCCTCCCCCATTCCTCCTTGTGCTCTGTGCTCTTCTTTTCCTGCACTCCGCTCAGCTGGTGATGCAGACAAACACTCCACCTGCCACCTTCCGTTTTCCAAACTACTGCAGCCATCTCCAGGCCTGTTGCTATAGAGCCTACCTGTGTGTCAATAAACAACAGCTGAAGCACCTGTTTCCTCTCTTTAATGCTAGGGAGAGTCATTGAACCCTGCCCTCTTCTGAGCAGGTGAAAATGGCAACGGTTTGTCCCCTGCACTGGGTCCTGTGGGCCATCTGCAGTTGTGTTCACCTGCTGGAGAAGCTGCAGCTGAGTACCTTGGGTGTGTTAAGGTCCCATTTACCATACTGAGGAGGTGGGCCGTGTGTCAGGAAGCTCACACTGTTCTATTTCGAGACAAAAATAGGGGCCTGGGGCAAAAGTCCATCAATTCTGATGGGCAGACTCAGGGCTTGCTGTTATGCCTACTCCTGGCGTATGAGGCCCATTGAGGGCGCTGTAGGATTGAGTCCCTGCTTAGCACCTGAGAAAATTCTGCTCTCAGGCCCCAGAACAGTTCTACAATGGCCCTTATGTTCGCTGATGCCTACCTTCCATGATACAGCAAGATCAGGGTGGGAATGGGGCTAAATCTTACCCATCTCCTGGGACCTTTCCCAAGAACCATGTGAACCCTGTGAAATTTGGAAATAAGACTTTGGGGCTCATTTACACTGCCTGGTACAGCCCAGTTCATTGTCAGAGCCCCACCAGTCACTGTTCCAATGCTTACTCCTCACATGCTCAGAAAGCTGTTTGCTTAGGAAGACTGCAAAAGGAATTGTGTCCTGTGTTCCATTATCTGGTTTCAAATTCTGATGTTCTAGTTAAAGCACCTGAAGCTCATATTAGGGAGAGGAGGGCTTGGGAACTAGAGTAAGACAGGAACGGAAGAGCCAGGAGGGGGCAGATCGTCGGATGTAGGGGGACAGGTGCAGACCCAGGCCCTAGTTTACTGGACCTGCTGGCAGCTTGCCGTCCCATCAGGGTGGTCTAGGGCGGAGGTTTGGGGGAATAGGCTTGACCAATAGGCTGGGTCGATCCCGCTCAGGTGGCCAATGGGTGAGCGGGGACGGGCTCTTTCCGTGGGTGGGCGGGGTCCGCCGGGCGCTCGGTGCAGCGCCGGGCCGCGGGCTCGGAGAGGGCGCTGCGATGACCGCTTTGAGCAGGAGCGAGAGCGCCGTGGCGGGCAGGTAAGGGCGGCGGCCCGGAGGATCCTGGGCTCCGGGTCCGGGAGGCTGCAGCTGCGAGGGCCGGCGGCTGCGGCGCGGGCCCGGGCGGCAGTGCGAGGTTCCGGGGCGCTTCCCCGCCAGAGTGCGGGCTTGGGTCCAGAGCTGCGCCGCGGGGATCCCGTTCCTCGGTGGGGCTGAGATGTGCCCGCTTGGACAGGACGCGTCTGAGGGTCGGTCTCCGCGGCTTCGGGGCAGTGGAAGGCAGGCTCCTGGGCTCGCCTCGCGTGGCCCGCCACCGCCCCTCCGCCACCATCGTGCTCCATTCATCAGTGCACGCTTGCATTCATTCATTCCCCGCCATACCGACCCCATATTCTCCACCTCAAGACCGGCGCTTCCCTGCGGGCCTTTAGAGGCAAGCTCAGCCCTTCTCTCCCATCAGGATCTAGCCGCGGCGCGCCACTGCCCGGGAGGCAGCGCGGAGCTGTCCCAGCACGACTCAGCCGCACCCCGTGCGCCGAGCCCGGGCGGGCTGGGGCGGGTCGCCAAGCCTGGAGATCTGCTCTAAAGTCGACCTGGGAGGAAAGAAAAGTTCTTACACCTGGGGAAGAGTAACGGGGACAGGGAAAGACACAGTTGACTTAATAGATGACATCAAGAATGGTAGCTTGCTTGCCTAACGTCGACGGGGCCCTGGATTCGATCCCCAGCACCTCATAAACCAGGCGTGGTGGTGCTTTGCCTGTAATCTCAGCCGCGGGTGAGTGGAGATTTAAGGTCATCCTGGATTACATAGTGAATTCAAGTCTAGCCTGGGCCATATGAGACAGAGCCAGGAGGGAGGAGGAAATTTCGGCTCTTGAAGTCTTGGGGTCCTGAGGATGAGATTATTTGAGCAAGATGGAGACCTACTCCCGTCCCAGTCCTAATCCTGTACAGTTTAAGCTCCACCTGGCCAGCCAGTATGAAGCTAGGTAGGACAAATGTTTGTTCACAAACCAGATTGGATACATAGGGGTGTGGATTTACTCCCCCTTGTCCTTTCTAAGGGTTTGAGGAAGTGGGGAGTCTAGATAGCTCTTTTCTACCCTTGTCCTTGCCTGCTCCCTCAATAAATATGATGGTGCAAATGTGCCCATCCTTGCAGAGGTCAGGGTGCTCTGACCACCTGGGATGTCCACTCCCACCCCTCTCTAGTTTGCAATGAACTTTGCTCTTTTCAGAGTAAAGTCAAAGCCTTGCCGGGAGAGGTGGGTAGAGGTTATCTCTCACCCTTTCCATCCACAGTCTTCTAAGGCCAGCTGGAGTCCAGCAGTCAGTCTGCTGGCACTCTTAGAGTCAAGGTTATAGTTTAGTAGGTATTAAGGGTGGCCTCAAGTGGATTATCTCTGGGGCAAATGGGCAGGTCCGTTAGAGGGCAGAGCTGCCAGACTGCTGCTGAGCATTTGGGAGAGTTTCTGCCAGGGCCAAATGGAAGTTTTTCTCAGCTTAGAGGATTTTCTAAATAGCCTAGAGAAGGCAGCCTGAGCCCTATCCAGATCTTGATATTGACTGCGTCCTTTCATATTTCTGGGCTCAGGTGGGTTCTCAAAGCTTTAGTACCTACTAGAAAGCTCTGTATCCTTATCTACATCCTGAGGATGCCCCACTAGGGTCAAGGGTGGCAGTATGCCAGATGGCTTCTACCTGCTGGCCTCCAAGAAGCTCTTCTGTGACCTGCTACTGCCTACTTGGGTGGCTCCACCCAGCCCTTAAGCTGGCTAAGCCGTTGCTTTGGCCGTTGAATGACACATTCTCTATTTATAAGACTGGCATGAAGATTTTCACTCTGGGTCAGAAAAACATTTGTTCTAAGCCTCACACTCTTCCTATTTTGTTGTAACATGGGGTCAAATCACTTCCCTCTGGGTATGGCCACTGTAAAGGCAGAAGATGGGACTTCAGCTCCCTGGTGACTTCCTCCAAGCAGTCAGTCCATGATTCCTCCTCTGTTTCTGAAGGTGTCTTGTTTCTTTCCATTTTTTTTCCTTTGCCATGACTTGCCCTTCCTGGAAGCCCATGATGTCGAGAAGGGTGTGGCGTTTCACTTCTGTGTCTAGTGGTTGAGCACTTCCCTCACAGTCTTTTCATGAGACCAGCTGGAGTCCAGTAGTCTATCTGCAGACACTCTTAGGACACCTTCCCTGAGGAGGGGAAAGCAGTTCCTGATAATTCTGCAGCCACATCTGATGTAGGTATAAGCCTGGCATGAGATCAGTCTTGGCCACTATGCCTCTTCACCTGGGCTGCAGGGCACCACTTTTTTTTTATCACTTGTTATCGCTAACCTTTAAGCTAGGATCCACTCCCTACCTGTTTACTAATGTAGGGGAGGCAGGGACTGAGGGTAGATACCCCTAGAATGAGCTTCCTGAGGGCTGGGGAGATGGCTTAGTGGATATGAGCATCTGAGCTTGGTTCTCCAAGCACTCACATAAAAAGCTGGGTATGGCCACTAGTGCCTGTAACTCCAGCACTGGGGAGGGTAGAGACAGGAGGATCGCTGGGGCTTGCGGAATGCCAGCCTAGCTCCAGGTTCAGGGGGAGACTGTCTGAAGCTCATACAGTGGGGAGTGATACAGTTGAACACAGGACTTTCTCCTTTGGCCTCTGCACATGTGCACAGGTGCCCACATTCTCTCTCTCTCTCTCTCTCTCTCTCTCTCTCTCTCTCTCTCTCTCTCTCTCTCCTCTCACACACACACACACACACACACAAAAAAAAAAAAAACACCTCCAATTGTGGAGAAATGAAAGAATACACCCAGGATCTACGAGTCTATGAATTAAGTACTGTGAACATTTTATGGTCATGGACACAAAGGACAGGTCCATGATCCCCAGGACCTGGCTATAAAACAGGAGTTCTGGAACTGGTCCTTAGCAAGCAGGACTTAGGCTACCGTTTGGGAGAGACTGTCTCACCTGGGAGGGTCAGCATCCCTGAGTTGAGTGATGGAGGGTATCTGAGAAGAGATGCTGGAATGGTCCCCAGCTGCAGTGCTCTGGAGGACACTGGATCTGAGGGTAGAAAAGGAAGACTAAGAAGTTAGGGTCCAGCTGTGCTTAGGAGGGGAAAGCTATTTGGGGGGAGAGGAACACAGAGGAAAAAGAAGCTGGTCAGAAAGGGGCTATATAGCCTGAAACCCTTGGGGTGGGGGTGGAGTGGAGGCTGGTGGATGAAAGATGGTGGTGGGCCTTGAAAATGTGCATGTCAGCAGCGGGCAGCCCGGCCAACACTCAGAGCTGCCAGGCAGGGAGGCATTTTCAGGGCCAGTGGAGAGAGGGCCAAAGAGCTGGGTTGAGTTGTAAATCTTTGGCAGGACCAACTCCCACCCCAAGAACCCATCTCCTTCCACCACTCTCGGGGGACCCTGCATCTAGGGGTTCCTCCATCATTCTTCCTCACCCCCTCACCATCTCCCCAGGAACGTCCTTCATCTGGCCCCGGGGGTTCATGTCACCCCATGGAGCTCGGGCTCCGTGCCACTGTACACTTCGGAGAATCATTAGCAGAAGTCATTAGCTAGAATACAGCCTCCCCCATAAATCTCCCCTGCACCTGGATCGTTTGTCCGCGCCTAATTTCCATCTCCCGAACTTTATGATTTGTTCCTCATTTGATGAGCGTTTCTCCCATCAATTGTGCCGTAAGTGCTCGCAGGAAAGGACCCCCCACGCTGACCCCATCTCCAACAGACGGGATGAGCTTCTCGCCCTGCTTGCTGGGTGTGGGGGGGCCCTCCACAGGCCCCTCCTTGGCTCGTCCCTCAAAGGGCAGCTTAAAGACGCTGTGTTTGCAGACTCCTTGGGGATGGGAGGAAGAGCTGGGTCCAGTGGTTCAGGATGCTGGGAGAGGGAAGGTGGGAAGAGCCTGTGGCTGGGTAGGTAACTTGGGTTTTATGTCTCTTCATCAACTCACTGTGTGACCCCAAACTCTCTCTCTCTCTCCTATCACACACACACACACACACACAAAAAAAAAAATGAGCTTGTGTGATTAAGAAGTAACACTTTCCCAAAGGTATACCTGCCTGCTGTGGCACAGCATTGTTCTTAAGCATATAACCATCAAAGGGGCAAACTGACTGTCGCCCTTCTCCTCTTCCCACATTTACACATTTTCATTAGTTGAGAAATACTTGGTCAGAATTTAGAACTAGGTTTTTTTTTTTTTTAATGTGTATGAATGTTTTGCCTGTATGTGTATGTAAGTATACCACATGTGTGCAGGGCCTGCAGAAGCTAGAAGAGAGCTTCATATCCCCTGGCACCGGAGTTACAGATGGTTGTTAGCTGCCATGCTAGGAATCAAACCCAGGTCATCTGTAAGAACAGCAAATGGTCTTAACCACTGAGCCATCTCTCCAGCTCTAGAACTAGTTTTAATAACCTGTAGCAACTGAGTCAGCCCTTAAATTCTTATCCTAAATTAATGTTTCCTCAGTGATGTTTAAAATTACAGTGTCAGACTGGAGAGATGGCTCAGTGGTTAAGAGCACTGGCTACTCTTGCAGAGGACCCAGGTTTGACTCCTAGTGTCCATGTGGTGTCTAACAATCATCTGTAAGTCCAGCTCCAATGAATACAACACCCTCTTCTGACCCCTGTGGGCATTGCACGACATGGGAGCATCTACCTACCTGTAAGCAACATACTCACACACATTCAATAAATAAATAAAATTCCAGGGCCGGAGAGATGGAGCCTACCTGTAAGCAACATACTCACACACATTCAATAAATAAATAAAATTCCGGGGCCGGAGAGATGGCTCAGTGGTTAAGAACACTGGTTGTTCTTGCAGAAGACCCAGGTTCAAATCCCAGCACCCACATGGCAGCTAACAATTGTCCATAACTCCAGTCCCAGGGGATCTGACAGCCTCTTCTGACCACCATGAGCATTGCACAACACAGGTGTACTTACCTACATGCAGGCAATACACGCATACATATAAAACAAAAATAATAAATTTTTTT